GGGGAGGGGGCGGGGGAGGGGGCGGGGCTCAGTTTGGGACATGTTGAGTTTCAGGTTGGGGCAAAAAAATAGATTATTTTAGTTTCTTTTTCCTTTTGCCCGAAAATAGTGCCACGGACACTGAGGTTCGATCCTGAAGTCACACGGATTGCTGCAGCGTCAGGACCCTGGACAGACCAGTTTGCCCACGGCCATGGTTTAGAGAAGGGACAAGAATCAGAATGCTCTGGGGCAGAAATGCTCCCTGGTGATGCTAACAAATGACTATTCTCCCTACTGTGAGGGGGCAGGTATCGCTCCAAGTCTGTCCCATTACAGAGACAACAGACCCAGGGAGCTGTCCTGACCACTGGGCTGCTTACTGCCCAGCACCATGATGCAGTGGCTAGCAGATCAACTTACCCTTGACTTGTATGTATGCCTTTCCTCCTCTGCTCCCACCAACCCAGGATCAGCCCTCAATCCCCCCAGTTGGAGAACTGGGGCCAGTGTTGCTGGTTGCCTTATGGCCCTGGGGTGGGTGGGAGCACCCCCGCCCCGGAGCTGTCTCTGTTTCTCCAAAGGGAGCCAGGTGGGTCCATCCATGCTGAGCCATTTCTGACCTTGCCAAAGTTCCCTGACCACTTTATCCCTCACTTTCTCCATCTGTAAAATGGGATGATAAATGGTGTTGGGGGCAAATGTCTAGCACACACAATCTTGTGTCCAGATGGTCTGGCTGGGAGGCGGAAAGGTCCAGGGGATCAGAGAGGAGCCGGCCTGCGGGAGGGGGTGCAGGCTTGGTTCTGGGGGGCTTCACGGGAAGCTGGGTGTGCAAGAGCTCCCGGCGGCCGGGGCTGGTGGTACTCACCGCCGCCAGGGGTCGCCGCACTAACATCCCAGGCCGCTCATGGAGCCGATCCTGTCCAGCTTGAGGCCGAAGCAGCCCTTGGACAAACCCTTCTTGTTGCCTCCCTTGTATTTCCGCGCGTTGGGGTGCTCCTGCAGAAGACGGGCCCACGCCGCCCGAGACTTGGTGTCCACGCGCAGGTCCCGGAGCAGTCGCGACCGGTCGCCCTTGAGATTGGCGCCGCCGCCCCCGGGAGTCTTGTCGCCCTTCTTCTGACCTCCGCCCGCAGCCTGGGGCTCGGCCACCTCCTCCCCTGGCGGAGTGCGCGGGACCTGTCAGAAAGAAAGAACGGGCAGGTGAAGGGACGCACCGCGGCAGCTCGGGGGACTTTGCGGGGCCGCTGATGCTCCAGCCCGACACTCCGGCCAGCGCGGTTTGTCCCTTTCGAGTCCTGAGCGCGCCCCCAGAGGTGCCGGACGGCTCGGCCCTGCATCCACCTGCCACGCGGCCGCCGATGTCCGCTCCTTCGGGGAGCCCCTTGCCCTCCTCTCCTTTGCCTCTTGCCGGGCTGACCACACTGAGGCAGAGGCTGCGCATTTGTCGATGCTATCCTGAGTCCGGGCTTCGAGGGCTCCCCAGCTCTCACCCGCGCGCGTCTCAGGGGAGGGAGAGAGCCGCCTTCCCGCCCCCTCTGCTCCCTCCGGCGGGCCACACCCTCCTAGACCCCCTAGCCCTACCACCGCCCCTCACAGTTCCGACGTCCCTGCGACAGCACCCACCTTCGGCGGCGCCCCGGGCTTGGCTTCGGAGGGCCGGAGCGAGAGTAGCGCGAGCAGCAGGGCGCAGGCCAGCAGCTGGGAGAGGTGCATGGTGCCCGTGGGGTGGCTGGGCGCAGACCGGCGGCAGCAAGGGTGCGCGTGGCCGGCGGGCAGACGGGCAGACGGGCAGGCGAGCGCGGAGCAGGCTGGCCGGGCTGCGACGCGGGGGCGGGTCCGAGTCCCAGTGCTGCGCAGCGCCGGCTGGGTGCGCTCTGAGCCCGCGGCTCCGCTCGCGCCTTTATAATCCAACCTGCCGCTGATGTCATCCTCCCGCCCACAGGGCCGCCCGGGCCAATGGCAGTCGCGCCGAGGGCCGGGAGGGGTCCGCGGGGGCTCCCCC